ACACACACACACACACACACACGCACACACCCATACACACTCCAGCAAGAATAGTTTAACTCCATGTCGAAACATCAACACAGCAAAGTCAAATCCAACAAAATATGTTGTATTTTCCAGGATATTCTACACAGTCCTGCTCGAGGTACTCCCGTACACACTACACCAATCTGCCATCGATGTCTCTACAGGATCCGACCTCCTTTGGTTATGGGGCCCCCCAGGCACCTGGCTTAACGTTTACCCTTGATAATTACCTAATCTTACAGATCCATGTTAAGTTGGGGTCAAGTTATATCGAATACATAAATCGCTTCCTGTATATGAAGTATATGATTACTATTGCGTACTGTAATCATGATGGACTTGGTGATGTTAGATGAGTAATGATGAATGTTGTGGTTGATCAGGTGATGCTCAATGCCTCATCACGTGATTATTGTGTGACTGAAGGTAGCGAAGAGGCTGAGTCTTGTTGGTATCAGTGAGTTTCTCTGAGGGCTCTGTTGACACCTCTTTCATTGCTAGATCACATACTAGACATGGGAACTCCCTTGGTTGCTTCAAGCGTAGGTTAGACGTACACATGAATGATTTGGGTAGCTGTAAATATAAGCTGACTCGTATAGGCCAATTGGCCTACCACAGTTTAATCTTACGTTCAACAGCTGGGAAATACATCACCAATACACCTCTTTTACATGTTTGGTCTCGACACTCTCACGGTGGTAACAATATCTACCTTGCTCGGGGACCTTCGCTGGCCTGGCGTCTGCAAGGAATATTGAGGAGATAGCAGGGAAGCACTTTGAGTCAACATTTGCAAAGAGTTTCATGGTTGCCGTTGGCCAGGAGTTGAGTGTGTTTGGTCAATGTCCGTCAAGAGCTGTATGTGTGTTGTTAGTGTCTGGCAGAGGTTGTCTTTGGTCAATGTCTGCTAAGAATTATATGGGTTAATAATTTTGATCAAGAAGTTTCAGTTACAAGAACGGGGTGTGTGTGTGTGTTTGTGTGTGTGTGTGTGTGTGTGTGTGTGTGTGTGTGTGTGTGTGTGTGTGTGTTTGCATGCAAGTATGTGTGCTCATGAACGTGTATATGTACGTTTGTGTGTGTGTGTGTACGTTTGTGTGTGTGTGTGTGTGTGTGTGTGTGTGTGTGTGTGTGTGTGTGTGTGTGTGTGTGTGTGTGTGTGTGTGTGTGCGCGCGTGTGTGTGTGTGTGTGTGTGTGTGTGTCTACATTCAGGAGTGTGTTTGAGTATATTTGAAGGTATGCGACCTTTGTCTGTATGTATGGATGTGTATGAAATCCTTATCTTAAGTCACAATTTAAATCTCAAACTCCAAAGTTTCTAAAATTTGTATATGTATAACCAAATTTAACATGAATTTAACTCTACAGAAAAGTATTTTCAAATCCTCAGATCACAACAGAGATAATGAAACATGGGTAGACATCCCCGTAGAGTTGTACAAAATAAAATAGTCTATGCTCTTGAAAACTTTTGCAAAGTAAGGGTTTAGAAACTAATTTGTATTGATACCATCTCGTACAAATATAACTAATCATAATGACACAGACCATTCACATAAGGGAGCCGGTCGGCCGAGCGGACAGCACGCTGGACTTGTGATCCTGTGGTCCCGGGTTCGATCCCAGGCGCCGGCGAGAAACAATGGGCAGAGTTTCTTTCATCCTATGCCCCTGTTACCTAGCAGTAAAATAGGTACCTGGGTGTTAGTCAGCTGTCACGGGCTGCTTCCTGGGGGTGGAGGCCTGGTCGAGGACCGGGCCGCGGGGCACTAAAGCCCCGAAATCATCTCAAGATAACCTCAAGGTAGATCACCAACAGCATTAACCCCACCACGAACACACGAGGGATCCCGCAGGTTGCATCTTTCCTGTCTGACATTTCATATCTGCCTTAAGACCATCTGTTTCCTAACTGACAGGTACTCCCTTATCCAGGCAATTAACCCCTGCAAACATATAACGTAACTATCCGCTATTTTTCCGCTTGATACAACTTGTAATAAAGTCATAACATCTTGTTATAACGTTTTAATGACGTAGTGGAACGTTGTTAGAACTGGTTATATTGGTTGTTACAACGTGTTAGGTGTTAAAACCTTTTTCAAACGTTGTAGCGACGTTTGCTATCTCTATCCTCTGGGGTAAGGATAGATCTATTGATCCATGTGTCCCTCAGTCCTTTTCCTGATTATTTTCTCTAATTCTGTATAGGAAATACACGTGTTAGAGCTGCATAGGTCTGCATTTTAGGTCTCTCTCTCTCTCTCTCTCTCTCTCTCTCTCTCTCTCTCTCTCTCTCTCTCTCTCTCTCTCTCTCTCTCTCTCTCTCTCTCTCTCTCTCTCTCTCTCTCTCCCTTCTTCAGCATTGTTTGTGTGCATGCGTGCGTTTGTTTATGTGTGTGCGTGGGGACGTGCGTGCATCTGCGTATACATGCGCATGGTTGCTTTTGCGTATACATGTACGTGCGTGCATTTGCGTTTATAAGTGCGTGCATTTGCGTCTACATGTGCGTGTGTGTGTGAGCGTGATAGCGTCACGGGTATATCCACACGGAAGAGTAGAAACACAAAGAGAGAATACAGCCTCCTCTCCTCTTCCCCCCTCTCTTCCTCTTCTCTTCTTCTCTTCTCCTCCTCCTCCTCCTCTCCACCTTCATCCCCACCAATCCCTCTCTCCCTCCCTCTCTCTCTCGCAAGATTTACATGACCCATCAGTATTCATAGCAGCCACTTGCCTCCTGCCCCTCTCTCTCTCTCTCTCTCTCTCTCTCTCTCTCTCTCTCTCTCTCTCTCTCTCTCTCTCTCTCTCTCTCTCTCTCTCTCTCTCTCTCTCTCTCTCTCTCTCTCCCTCTCCTTACAGCCTGCCTTACAGCCTGCCTTACAGCCTTCCTATCCATCCTGAATTCCCCTCTTACCAACCAACTTTAATGGCTTTCGTATAAAACTGGACGACCAATGACCTGTCGTAGTTGGTCCTCAGCTCCGTTTTCTTTTGTCATTTTCTTCCCATCTTCTCTCTCTTTCGGAGCTTATTTTCGTACGGTTTCGTATATGAAGCTTGTTAGGCTTATAAGGCCTCCCTTACCCACCGACTGGCCTTCCTTATGATGCTTCCCCAACAACTGTTTCCTCCTTAACATCCAGGTGTAAGGAAATGTGCCTGCCGTGGGAATCGAACCCAGGAGCTATTGGTTGTGATCCGACTGCGCAGACCACTGAGCTGTTTATGCAAGGCATTCGTAAATTGGTGTTCTGGGTGACGTGGAAAGGTGAGTTCAGGTGTGTTCGTGGGAGGGGGAGGGTGGAAGGGGGTGGGAGGGGGGTGGGAGGGGGTGGAAAGGGGGTGAGAGGGGTGGGGAACGTGAAGGGGGGGGGGGAGTTATTCGGGGGGTAGGAAATAATTTGGAAGGAGCCTGGAGTTCGCGTTGGGGGTAGGGGAGTGAGGAATTA